TATATATATATATATATATATATATATATAGAGAGAGAGAGAGAGAGAGAGAGGCACAAATGTTAACTAATACTACCAACTGACCCTGTGTGAACATGTATTTGCCCATGTAGTTACTAATGCCCAAATTTGCATGCATAATATGGTTCAGCTGGACTAGACACAACCAGGCTTAATTACTACCAGCCCTGTTCATTTAAATTAATGCTTAAATACAACTTTCTCAACAGCATTAAGTTAAAGGTCTTACCCAGTAACGCACTATGCCAAAGGCGAAAGAGATACCGAAAATGATGAGGAAGGGGGTGATTGAAATACATCTATCTGTAAGGGTTACAAAGGCTCTTGGACTCCAAAGAGCCTTTATATCCGAATGTAAAAACTTGGCACAGTAGCGAACCGTCCCAGAAGTGTCCAACCTTCCAAAATTCTTCCAAGACCACAGCAATGACCAAAAAATGGCATCCATGGAAGAGTGGCAAGGAAAAAGCACTGCTAACCCATTAAGGCTGATTTGAATTTTGTAGAAATGTTCTGAATTTATCACATAAAAAACATTATGGCAATGTACTGGTGTGGGGATGCTTCAGGGCCTGGAACACTAACAAATAATTGAGAGAAATCGGTCTTCAGTCTGTAAATTGAAGCTCATGCCCAACAGGATTACACAGCAAGAAGATGATCAAATGCACAGGAGTAAGTCCACATCTGAATGGCTCAAAAAAAAAAAAAAGCAAGCTGAAGTGTTGGAGAGGCCTAGTCAAAATTCTGACTTGAACCCAATTGAGAAGCAGGCTCTTAAACTGGCAATTCATGCTCAAAAACCCACCAGTGTGGTTGAACTAAAGCAGTTCTGCAACACATGGACAGGTGTTGGATTTTTTTTCTTCTTCAATATAAAATAAACTGTATGCATTTAGCTTGAATGTACACATGTAAAAAAAAAAAAAAAAAAACAATTAAACAGCATGTAAAAGAAATGTTTCTTTACTGAGTGTATTTAGTGGACTAAAATCCAATTTCAAATTGAGACAATGAGTTGACAAATTACAGTGTGATACAAAAAGCAAATATTGCCTCTGCCCAGATGTGCAAATCGGGGGAAATAAAAAAAAATCCTTGCATAAGATCCAGATTGGTCAATTATTTTTACATTTTTTTCTAATAACCTTTAATAAGATAATACTGAAAAGGCTACAGTACTGTGACAAACACTTATTTGGTGCTCCAATCCACTTCACAGTAATGAATGAAATAAATTTGAGACATATGCATATAAATAAAGAAATCTATTTTCAAGTGTGCTGCTTGCAAAAAATGAAAATAGCTAACTTCACTTAAAAAAAAAAAAGCTTATTATTACCCATCCACAGGCTCAATAATTGTCAAATGATAATGAGAGTTTTGCTTGCCAGTCTCATTCTCTCTATAATGTCCAGTCTTGATACAGTTAAGCAAAGTGAAAACATTTCCAATCTGACTCTCTAAAGTGTAACTCAGGCATATGAACTTGCCAGAAGTCAGTCTATAATTTAAAGTGCACTTCAATCTTAAACACTTCAAGACCAAATATCCACAAAAAACTAATTTTAACACCACAGACCATGAATCTAGAACAACTGTTTTAGAGCAGTGTAGTAACACCCTACATTAGGCAAAGATCAAAAGCCTGAGTTTGACAAGGTAAAACGAAAGTGTATGGTCAAGGAAGGAGAACGAGGTTACCACGACAAATTAGGATGTGGAATTTTGTGTGAGGATCAAGGCATCAGTGCTGTCAGTATCATTTAACTCTCTGTACTGTGGACTGGTTAGGAACAAGCATTGCAACACCTGTTAGAAGTTTTTACAATTTCTTAGCTGTATTAATGTTTGTCTTTACATAACTTCTGTTTTCATTGAAAAGCTTAAGATTAAATGTTTTTGTAACCTTCATACCCATAAAAGTTATCAATTTAACCACTTTCCACTTGGTCCCCATGCAGTGCAGTTTTAGGTCAATTAAAAAAAAAAAAAGACTAAGAAATTCCCCACGTTAAGCAGCCCTATGAAAAGAAGTATAAATGGATAAACTGTTAATCATCCATTAGGAAATACATTAATATGTAACAAAATAATAATGTCAACTCAGGCTCTTGCACTGGTTGTGATATTAGTGTGATGAATACACTTACAAGTCCTCATTGTTGTTGTAGTTGTTGATGAAGTACTCAGGCACATAATTTGTTCTCTAGATTGGGTGAAAAGATGATAATTGGAAAACTTCTGCAATGCATGTTCATTATCACACACCTTTAGAAACCATCTTAAAAAAGTGCTTTAAAAATCAGAGTGAAAAAAAAAATCCAATCAAATCTGTGGATAACTCACTCCATTCTCCAAAACGATTGGATGTTCTGGTAAAAACTCAGGTTTCTTCTTAGCCACTGGACAACTTGCCAACTTGATGAGGAATTCCCGAGTGTAGCAAATTCTTTCGGCTACAGGTTAAAACAACAACAACAAAAAGTATTACCTTAACTCTATATTATCAGTGCATTGTTTTTTTCTTCTAATTCCAGGTATAATTATCTTCTTGATACTTTTAAGGAATTTATACTGAAACAGACACTTGCCTTTCTTCTTTGGTTGGGTGCTGGTGCTTTGAAGATGCAGGATTTCATAGAAATGCTCCACTTTAATAATGTTGTCCTGTTCACAGTAAAAAGAAAAGTTACTGGACAAAAAAAAAAAACACTCAGAAGAAAAAGATAAGTTTAAAAAAAGATGCCAGCATTGCAATTCCAAAACATGAAAATATTAAAATTGGTCTTACTGGCTTTTCTACCGGCTTAATTTCAGCATAACTTTTAGGCACTATAATTGAGATGTCCAAAGAAACACACCAACACACACAGAAAAACATAATCAAACTGGCATCAACTGAAATATATTCATTTGCATTTTTAAAGATCAAAACCAGTGTGAACATTCACATTTTGTACCTTGATTTATGTTCAGACGGCGCAGTGGTCTCGCTGGTTCCAGATTTCTGATGATCCTTTTAGACACATCCATTTTTCTGCTCAAGGACAAACATTTTAATATATCATTGTGTGACCAGCATTCATAATGTAATAAATGCATGCGTTTTCTTTTATATTTTCACCTATTTTAATTTTATTGGCAAGCAACAGGACAATATCTGGCTCTATATGGAAGGACGCGATCCATTAGAATCAGACACACTTTTTTTTTTCTAATTAAATCATTCCATGTCTAAAAGCCATAAAATTAGTAATAAAATTTAGAATATCTGCTTGAGCATTCAGAAGTCAGGAGTTCCTTCCCCCAACATTTACTGCTCAATTCGGAGTAAAAGTGGGAAAAATAAGCACATAAACTAGGTTGCGGACTAATATCAGAACATCATGATATCCTATCCATGCCATTATGAAGACAGGTATATCTGTTAGCATTAGTCATTTTGATTGCATGCATTGGTGGATTACATTAACATAAATTTTTCAAGAGGCCATATTTAAGTTTAAGTAAATATTGGTCGTTTATAGCTCAGCAACAGGTGTTTCTGGACCTCATCACAGTTGAACTGGATGGTGTACAATATTATCCTGTTTTACACTAACATCAAACAAATAAACTGTGCAGTGCATTATAACTGAGGCAGGTGGTCACCAATCTAAGGCGGATGCACTCAGAACTGGTCTTTTTATATTCAGAAATATAAGAGGAAAAACCCTGAAAACGATGATGATAACATTTATGATGATAGATGAGGAATATTGGCAGCTTCCCTAACACCACATCAGCAATCTCAGTTCAGTTTTAATATTTCACACGACGAATGAGTCAGGTAAATGTACTTTGTGAAAACCATCAAACACGTCCTGCTGAACAGCAAAAACAAAGAACGGCACATACCAATGTTAAATACGTGTAAAATACTGGAAATAAAGGTGGCGTGAACTTTATCATTTGACTCAATCGGCATCAACGGTGCTAGCTGCTAGCCACCATGACTGCGAACGTTTCCCTTGGTAATCTAGTTCTTACCACATAACATCTTCACGACAGACATAATTTAACTCAGAATTATGTCATAACACAATTAATCCAAAATAAACGCCAAATTATAATACAGTGGAAATTTACAAGTTCTCACTGACAAAGCGTCCAGCCTCAGTCACCGCGCTGTCTGTCTCCGTCATTTCCAAAACACATTCATTCATTCATTCCGCCCGAGCTCGTGACTCTCTTCTGTGCCTTCATTTTCACTGTGGATCAACTCACACAGTCTCACATACACACATTATATTTAAAATATAATTATCCACAACTTTCATTGTTAGCTAGTCTTTGAGGGAAAATTGTTATTTGTCATTCGTTTTTTCTCTCTAAATTAACAGGTCAGATCTCCTAGAACCAACATTATCATTATGATAAATGCATAAAATGCTTTGTATCCACCGATGTGATGAGTCTATCTTACTGTGGGGGGGAAAAGTATAACAAATAGATGTTTCCTCGTGCTTCATATATTAAAAGTTCACCAGGGAAAGGTTTTCAGTTACGATTTGGTCATGAGATAAATGTAAAGCATTCACTAAACATTGAAATATTTTTTAAAGGTGGGCTACTGGTTAAACTCTCCTGAAGTTAGGTGCTTTACCTGATTCTTCACCTTGTGAAATCTGATAAGAATTACGTGTTGTTCATAACAAAGGCTCTAAATTTATTTGAGTGCTAGTGTATTTACTTAGAAGTCCAAGGCTTTGACTACCAACCTGCTGAACAAAACAAAGGCTTATTGTTGCCCCTTTTTAAACTGCTGTGTACAATTTCTTACCCAGACCTTTGCTTTGGGTTTACTTGACTACACAAAACCTTTGCACTGGCCATTCTGACCCATGACCTCACTTACCTGCTCTTTGTTACAGCACTCTTGTATCCTGCCTGGTGATAGTAAATAACATTGCTACAAAAAAAAACTGCATACTAGCATTATTGAATCTCCCAGATTAACTCCTATAATTTATCTCTTTTTGGCACTCTTGGCAGAATAACCATTTTCTGATGTATTACATTTTTTTTTCTCTTCACAAAGCATGGAGTGCCAAACTGCCCGGTTACTTCTACATAATTACAATACTAACCATCTCCAGAATTCGTATTACCTTCTCCCGGTGCTTTTTAAGTGTCAGGCCCACACTTCCACCAAGGCAGTATTTTTTTTTTTTTTTCTTGATCCATTGTACTGCAGTGACCTCTAGTGGTTTCTTTCTCAGTCGAGCACGTTATTGTTAAAAGCCGTTGTTGTGAGTACCAGTGTATTTGACTGACTGCTGTTAAACACTGTGGTTTGAATCACCTGGAAAATGATCCCATGACAATGAACTGAGCACATTGCAGAACAGTCTGTTATGCAAAAAGAAAAAGACCTGAATGCTGATAAACTATCTACACTGAACATGCTGTGGTTGACAGCATGGAACAAGCAGCAACTACATACTTTATAAAATCTACATAAAAATATGCAAAACATGTCTGTCTTAATAATTGCTATATATATATATATATATATATATATATATAGCAATTATTAAGACAGACATGTTGAAAATGCGTCACAATATCATTATTGGACTGCAAATGAAACCGCATCAACTGGGCAAGAGACCAGTTTGCGAACCACTGCAAAAAATATATATATATATCATAAAAAAAAAAAAACACTGTCAGAAAGAAATCAGAAGAACACGCTGATGCCTTTAATAGCATTAAACATGAACTGACAATTTATCTGGTTGTAGAATGAAATTTACAATTTCACAATGTTAAGATTCTTTTAGATCTGATTTTATCTGAAAACAAAATATATTGGTGACATATTTAGTGAAATCTCAAATTGTAGTCATTACTCTGGGGGAAAACATTCAACAGCACAAATAATACTGAGTCTAGATACTGTCACTGACATGCATACAAATGCACTATTTTCAAACAGTCAAGATATAAAGTATGAATCTAAATTAAAGCAGTGTTTCATCTGCAGATTTATGAAAAGCAAGCAAAAAAAGTCTTCACTTGTTAATCATTGAAAAAGCACATACAACTTTAAAAAAGGAAATAAAGAAAAACATCAAGATTGTAGTCTAAAAGCATATCTACACAAACAAAATCTGAATTTTCCTGGTGCCAATTGGTCGACCATTTAATTCTTGAAGAGCAGTGAGCGCCTCTCTGTGGGTTTCGAAAGCTACCGTTGCTGAACGTTTGGGAGCTCCATTTCTATCATGCAGCAATGAGGCAGAACCTGGAATCACTCTGTATCCATAGAAGAAGTCATAAATCTCATCGATCCTTATCTGAGAGGGTAGATTGACCAATTTAAGACAAGTCGGACCGTCAAATTGTTGGTCAGGTGATCCGTAACACTGACGTCCATTACCATCCGGTCCCGGCCCAAATGCATCATTGTGGCCAAAATTAGGCTCAAAGCGATCATGACCTCCATAACCCTGGTGCAAATTAGGCTGCATCTCACAATCATCTCGGGGCATCGGGGTGTTCGAAAAACGAGGACCATCGTTGAAAACTTCGGTTCTCTGGAAGTTCCTTTCTTGTGGGCTATCCATCAACTGGTCATTGACGCCAAACTTCTGCATCTGGCCAATCGTTATGCACTTAAGCATGATCATCGATCTTTATCTGAGAGGGAAGATTCACCAATTTAAGACAAGTCGGACCGTCAAGTTGTTGGTCAGGTGATCCGTAACACTGACGTCCATTACCATCCGGTCCCGGCCCAAATGCATCATTGTGGCCAAAATTAGGCTCAAAGCGATCATGACCTCCATAACCCTGGTGCAAATTAGGCTGCATCTCACAATCATCTCGGGGCATCGGGGTGTTCGAAAAACGAGGACCATCGTTGAAAACTTCGGTTCTCTGGAAGTTCCTTTCTTGTGGGCTATCCATCAACTGGTCATTGACGCCAAACTTCTGCATCTGGCCAATCGTTATGCACTTAAGCATGACTTCGGATCCAAGAAACCGCTGTCCGTTTAGGGACTGTGCCGTCATGGCCTCCTTCTCAGATTGGAAGATCACCAAAGCCTCACCGAGCCCAGCTCCTCTTTCGTCCCGCAATAAGACAACCCTATCCTCTGAGAGCGGATATCCATGAAAGAAGTCCATGATCTCCACCTTACGAACGTCAAATGGGAGATTGCGCACGTAGAGACACCTCAACTGCGAGTCAGGATTGTTTCGTTGAGACTGGGGCGCTTCTGCTGAACGTCTCGACCCTTTTCCCTCGTCTCTCGAGTCAACAGACGATTCCAACAAGGTGACCATTTTCTCCTTGGAGATGGGTGACACATACACTACCTTGTTCATCAACATTTCCTTATTATGAGCCAAACCAGCACAATAGTCTGTGAGACTTCTAAACACCACAACAGCCGTTCTGGTCTTATCATCCTTTTTTTGGGCAAAGATAATAATCTGATCATCTTTCAAAGAAACCGGATGAAGTAACACCCTCAAATCTCTCTTTTCAACCATGTTAGGCAAGTTCTCAAACATGACGCAGTATTCTTCATGAGAGGGCGATCGTGATCTTGACTTGTAGGAAATGGGAGATCGAGATCTTGCTCGCTCCAAGGACGCTCTTTTCCGACTGTCCGGTTTAACGAGACCTCCTTCTGCCAGCCACTGCTCCTCGGAGCATCTTGTTACTTGGATATACCGCGGTCCAATGTATTCTCGATCCCTCTTCAGACCTTCGACTGCATCCTGTTTGGTAGCAAAGCGCACAATACTCTGGCCGTTGAACTGTCCTCTGGGGTTTCTCAAAAACATAAGGTCTTCAATCTGTAACCCACTGAAAAAGTTATAGACGTTGTCCTTTGTCGCAGAGAATGGCATACCTGTCAATTTCAGATAAACCTCATCTCTCTCTGACGTGCTTCCTTCTCTCTGGTGTCGTGTCTCACTGAATGACGATAGAGAAGGCCTGTTCCTTATCTCTTGATGATCCGGCCTTCGTATGTCTGCTCTCGGGTCCTTATTGAATGGTAGAGGACCTCGTTCCGCAGAAGGACTTTTGACAACCTCCTTGTGCATGCCCCTGCTTTTTAACTCAGACCTTCTAGTGCTTTCCTCGAGAACACTCTGCATTTCTGACTTGCTACTCAGGAGCAAACTGACAGGAGAGCCCTTAATGCAGCCCCCCGAGCGCGTCATCGCACGTCTCGCATCTTCATCAGATGCAAATATTATGAAAGCTTCCTCAAGCTCCCCACCAACTATATGAACCCCACCATCAGGGATTCTGAGCCCAGTGAAGAAATTGCGAATGTCCTCAGAACCAGCCGTGATTCTGAGTCCCTGTAATCGGATGACCACAGCCATGATGGAGCACACACAACAGGACCTGCAGACAAAAAGGGGCACATATAATAGCGTTATCGCTGACTCAACTATTGCCTCCGTATAACAATATTCAAAAGAGATCCCAACTTTCATTTTCAAACCAAGGAAACTGACTTCTCACAGCCAAAAAAAAAAAAAAGAGCCAACAACAATAACAGCCAGTCTGCAGCAAATAATAACGTCTTCGGATCCAGAAAAACAACTTTGTTTCACAAGATTCGGATTAACAGGAAAGGCTAGTTTTACAACCGTCAACATCATTCTTTCAGTTTCCACATGCAAATGTGCAAGTAATATGATATGAACTCCATTCACAATTAAAACTTATCATCTGACCACACTATCAGAGAGAAACACTGTATCAGTTTCAAGAATTTACAGATATCGCTACTAGCATCCGTACAGCTAAAAGTCACATATTGCAAATATGATTAAACTCAGTTCCGTTATAATTTTATAATATGCAGTTTCCAATAGAAACTTATCAACAGCAGACAATAGAGTACATCAACTCATTAAGTATTTAAAATAACAAGGCTCTTAACATGAAGCTCAACAGCCACTTACAAACTGCACAGCCATCAAACCAAATAATAAAACAACAGTTCAATACACCGAACACACAATTCCACCTCACGTCAGTGCAACATCTGAACTATAAATGCTTTTAAATCAGTGGTTCTCAAGAAGGGGGCCTCAGCAAACTCGGTTTTGCAAAACGATCTATTATTATTCAAATTTTATACGTTTTGGCCTTTATTAGGCCCTGTCCACACGAACGCGGTTATTTTTTTAAACCGCAGCTTTTTCTATGCGGTTTGGCCGTTCGTCCACACGCAAACACAGCACCAGTTCACTGAAACCGAACATTTTTGAAAATGCCTGCCAGGGTGAAGATTTTTTTTAAAAATTGGGGGGCTTGTGGCTGTTGGTTAGGCATGCTCTTGACAGTGCTTCATAGCATGCGTTTGCGTTTTCATGTGGACGGAGATTTTATTTTTAAACGGAAGGAGGAAAAACTCAGTTTATAAAAATACCCGTGTACGTGTGGACATGGCCTTAGACAGCACAGTGAAGGATAGAGACAGGAAAGAATGAGGAAGGTGAGCAGGGAACAAGACTGGAAAAGGAACACGAGCTGGGACATCTAAACTTCTAAAATAAACTAAATTAATCATACTTAACATTTTAATTAATCTTATTTAATCATGGTTAAGTCATACAGTATAAGTACTAAAAGATATACATTCTCTTGGACAATGTGAGGCCTTGGAGTAAAAAGGGTGGGAACCACTGCTTTAAATGCAAACAATGAGACTCAGAAATGCAGTTTACCCTTCAGCAAACCTTCCATTTTACTGCAAATTAATACACACAAAACTCACACCAAATGTACATCCGAACTGTCTAGAATTAAATAAATTAGAACTATTTTCTATAAACTTCTCTTGTAGAAATTTTTATGTAAAAAATCATAAAAGTCTTATGCTGTGGCAATGACCCAATGACCATCCACTAGTAACATTAAACGAGGCGTATTTTCAGTTGCAAAACACTTAGGAAGTAAAAGAAAGGCGTATTCCATCGACTTTACAAATAAATATCCCATTTTGCTGCATTTTTTTATGTAACCAATGCACGACTCAGCTCTCATTTCCACCACACAGAAACTGCGTCTTCCGCTTTGCCATGGAGTCAAACCATAATCCGTGCTGCACGTATCACTTATTTCAAGCGGTTTAATCATAACACTGTCGACTATTACAAACTTGTTTTCAACATATACACCTCTGTAGAACCTCGCGTACTTGCTATTTGCGGTGGACCGCGAGCTATCTGCGTTCTGAAGCAAAACTGCGCCAAAGCTAAGTTAGTATTCACGATCAACGTCAATTTTAGCCAAACCAACAACCCAGCAGTTTTAACCAGCTGTCGCTGTCGCTGACACACGATGAACATACGGTACTCGACTTAAAAACCACCGTCAACTCCGCAATAGCTGAAAACAAAGAGTGCAGCTGTCTTCGGTAGTAACGTTATCAGTAATGCTAAACCTGAGAGGCCCAGAATGTGACGCGCAGTATTGATCAAACTTACACAAAACAAAGGAGATATAAATCCTTTCCAAATATAAAAGAATGAGAAATTAAATTGCGCTCTGCGGTGTCGTCTGTCCGATTCCCACAGTGACTAAGCAACAATTTCGCTGTTGTGATAGCTGAAGCAAGGACGATTCGCAAGAAACTAGAGCATCCGCATCTCCTCCACCGCCATCTGCAGAACTACGGAAACCCGGAGGCGCTCAACAGAACACTCAAAACTCAAACGACACTCGAAACACACAATGGACGCCCGTACGTCTGACCAGTCTCGTGCCGTTTCCTATGAATAAAGTATACAATAAAAAAAAAAATGTTTACAAAATACATTACACACTTCAAATATCTTGATTTAATCGATCTAAATGTGTCACGTGGTGTAACCAAGTAAAAACGCTTAATGTGACCTAAACAATACTGGTCAAAGTGTGATAAGAGGTAATGACCTTGACACATATCTCTAATTTGGTTTTCTTGTTGCATAACAAAATGGCTTCATTCATCGTGGTTACACTAGCTACACCATCTTTTAAAAAAGATTTCCAATGTAGTAGATATAATTTTGAAACAAATGTGCTTTTGTTACAAAATTTTCATTTATTTATTTTTAACAATCAAACTTTTGCAATCAAAAACTCACATGAGCGTGTGTTATGCCATTTTTAACACATTAAGTTGATTTGCAAGTCAATGTCGACTTACATTTCATTTTATTTCATTAAAAGATATTTAAACAAACACACCTTGACTGTCTTTATACTTAACACATTCCTCAAAGATAAAATGCTGCTGAGCAATTGTAATGTTCATGCTCCGAATATTTCATCATCTGCAATATATGTGCTTCACTTAAAAAAAAAAAAAAAAATTATAATAATAATAATGAAAGATTACGCCAAACTACTACTTTTTCCCCACCCCAAGAATTTTAGCCTTTTTGAGATTCTTTCTTTCAAATCTCTGGACATTTACACAAGCTAGGCATTTTTGACTATATTATTAATTCTTTATTTTTCTATATTATTACAATATTGAAAATATTTTAAAAATCTGCTTTGATGTCAATGGAAATTCTCTTTTTAGTGTCATGTATGTTCCATGCAGGTCCTGCTTAGTATTACTACCTATTAACTAGTATTTATTTATTTACTTATTTATTGGGAATTTTAAAGGATTTGTGGGAAAAATAAAGAAGAACAGTAAAAACTACAAATTATTGTAAAGTAAACAATTCAAACTATTTACAAATAATAATATAGCTATAATTTCTTCTCTTAACCATGATGGCACAAAATCTAATCTCAAAACATTTAAAGAATGATTATGCTTGTTTTAATCTGAATTTCAACACTCGTGAGATTTGTGGTGTGTATATATATTTATATACAGTATATATATATACACACACATACACATACACACAGCGAAAAGGTCAAATTGGAGTAAGATGGCCAAGACCCAAATGGTATGTTGCTAGTGTTAATTTAATACTTAATATAAGGCTAACTGTGACATCATTTACAATACAGTAATCATAGGCCTGTATTTCTTATAGAAAAAATTTAAAATTATTGTAGGGGATTTGCCCCCCTCAATGTCTATGATGGTTACAGCCCTGCTTAGATACTCGTTTCACGGTTAGGGCAATAACAACCAAATCACACTTGTTATCTGGCTATTTACAAACAACCTGATTTCAGAACGGTCCTCTGAGCAGATCCCTGTAAACTGAGATACAACAAAGGGTTACTGATTCAGTGAACACAATGATGCTCTCATTTTAACCTCTGTGGGGCTTTAGACATGATAAAGGAGTTGTCCTGGTTACTATGGCTAGCTGCCAACCCTGCCTAATAATTATACTGTGCAGAGCACTGAGGTACTATATTCACAAATAAAAGTTCAGAAAACCGTGAAAAAGGAAGCATGAATAAAATACATAAGAAGAAAGAAAATACAGTAAGTGCCCTAATTGTATCCAAACATACAGGTCTGTCATTAGGTGGGACCTGTGGTGTTCTCGCTGTGAACTCGAAACAAACCATGTTTAGACAGAAAAGGCCATTTGAAGATAGCAACACAACATCAGACCTGTAGAAGCGAGAAAATATAAAGATTTACAAATAGTTCATCCAATGTGGGTCTTTTGAGGAGAGGAAGAGGTGCAGCTGTGCTCAGCGGGTGTTAATAGTTTTGTAGAGGGCTCTGTCCACTACGGGGCACCACCTGGAACTGTCAGGATGTTTCCTACTGGAAACTCATCACAAATTTCCTCATGAAGCTGAGAGGACCTGTCGACTGAACAGTGAGATAAAGATAAGCAATAACTGACACATCATACCCTGATCAACAAGGTTTAAGTACTTGTGCATAAACACCAAACAACAAACGTGATTATAAAGTAAAAATGCTTTTTTTATTTTATTTTTATATTTCAATCTATTTAACAGCCCTAATTCAGCTGAAATTGCCAATAAAGTTTCTAAGTAAATTATTGGTTTGTTTTTTTTTTTCTATAGGCTCACTCTCAACACACACTGTTGCAAGTTAACCATGTTGTGAAATGAATAGACTACAGAAGAGACAGAGTGTAGATCATTAAATTGTTTAAGACATGTTTATATTAGAAAAGCCAATGACCATACCTGTGGCTTGAGATGTCTGTTAGTTATTAGTTAGAATACCTGTCATCAAGTATATGATTAGTAACTAAACAAACTGACTGCATTGTCTACCACGGAAAACATCAAACACAACTACTATCATGCATTAGACATTTAGTTAAAAATTACCTATATTTCAGTGGTATCTGTGGCATCACTATGCAAAGCATTTAACAATTTATTGACATGAAATGTCTTTTAAAACACTTTATATGAACAATGAAAAACAATGCAGGTTTAATGGTTAATACCGAATTCATTCAAAGGGCTTTTCATAAAACTACACATATCAGTATAGAAATGAAATCTAGCTTTTATTAAGATACCGCTGAATACAACAGATTGAGATATGTCTGTTGATAATAATAATAATTATTATTATTCAGAGAAAAGTCATACAACGTTTATAACAGGTCATGATATGCACTTCAATCTCCACATAAACCACAAGCTGTTTAACATTATTTCTTAAAATTAACTAGTATTTTATGTATTTTTAATTTATTGCTGTATTTAGTTACTAGCGCTTATTTTTAAATTACTAGTAATAATAAGTTATACAATAGCAACTAGTACCTGTTCAATTTTTCACTGTATTCATTAGAAACTAATATTCCTTTGATACTTGTCAGTATGAAACAGATCTTCAAAACTACTGTAATAGTTACAACGAGATAAGTAGGCCTACTCGTAGTACCTAAAAAATAATAGTTGCTATAAAGTGGAACAAGTATCAGCAACATTTAATTCAATGGCAAAAATGTGCAGTTTGTTATTTATGATCAAAACTGAATAGTCATCTGTCACTATTGGGAAAGTGACTAGTAGCAAAAGCAATAAATATCTCATGAATAGTTTCTAGTGAAATTAACAGATAGGCCTACTAGTCACTACTGGATTACTTAGCCTACTACTAAGACTAATAGCATTAAAATAGATACAAGTTAGTTT